AAAAAAAAAAAAAAAAAAAAAAAAAAAAAAAAAAAAAAAAAAAAAAAACCATTATTTTAAATTAATACATTTCTGATAACTTTTATGTACCGTGTATAAAAGGTTCTGACGATCGTCGTTAACTGTACTGAAGATGAAATGAAATTCAATACTATTGAACGCATCAACAGATCAAACGACTGAGCCATTAGAACTGTGATGTTACTTGTTTTTAATAATGTATAATAGTAACTGTGTCGAGAAAGGTAAAATGGATTGTTCCACGACGCTTAACGTAACGACGATGCGATCTTTGTTGAGAACGAAGCTATTGTATTTCAGGATTTCAGTGTATGTTAGTTGATTTTCCAGCGTGTAAAACCTCTTCGTCTATTAATGTGGAATGTGGTCCGATTCAAAGTCCGTTCGAATAGCGACGAATTCACACGTGGGTGTGCCATATCGTGTGTAGTTGTCATGATGATAATGTAACCGTATATCTTTCGGGGATAGAATGTTCGGAAGTGAGGATCATTAAGCAGATCAATCTATCAGATTGATAAGTAATGGAACCACTGTGTTTGTTTCTTATTTTATTTTACTCGATAATCCGAAATGTGAACAAGAAACATTCCCGCGAGTAACAATTGAGGTTACTTCCGGTTTTGTCGAGCGCGAATTCGACGAGGTTCATGTTCCTTCGGCAATGAATATGTTCGTTGCGCGTAAACGAAATCGAGGAGGGGAAAGAAGAGGAAAGAAATGATTTTCGAACAAGTCCGTTCGATCTCGACGAGTTCGTCCTCGATAAATTTTGCACTGTCGTATTTATAAGGAAATATCGTTGTAACGATATTTCGATGATCTAACGAGCGCCGCGAGGATGCTTAGCGACAAGCAACGGATCGTACATTCCCGTATTAGTCGTAACATGAAACAAACAAAACAGAATTTTATACATTCGTACGTACATAATTGTATAATGTTATTAATAGGAACAGAGACGTCGATGTTACGTGTGAGATCTGGGATATGGATCAAATGCTGTCTGAAATAATAATGACATGATTTCTGTCATTGTCGCTGAATTTAAACTGGCTAAATTTTTCGAACACCCTGCTCGAACCACACCTTTTGACAATGATTCTCTTTTATCCTTGATTGCCACTGCGTCATCATTATTCTGTCCCCTTTACTCTGAGCAGGTATATTTTTTGTTTATTTGCATTTTAGCATAAAAACACGTTTACGCGAATCAATATTTTTCAATGCCGTTGCTTTCCCATTTGCTTTCTTTTCAACCGGTTTCCCTTACATATTTTGCTTTCCACTTCCGGTCCACGAAGGGTTGGATTTCGCACCGTTCCATTTTTAATTTCAC